TGCACACTGCACAGTGGCCATAAAAGTCAACCCACAAACCGAAGATTTTATTTCTTGCATTTACTCTAATGGGTGCTTTTTGGTTTATTGCACTACATATTTGGAGCTTAATGCCCTGTGAGATTTGTATGATAATGTAAATTTAACATGCAGAACTGGTGCATTCTCAGACTGTTTGCTGCTAGTCTGGTAGCTGCAGCTTGCCATGCATGCATCCATCCCAGCTTTGCAAGGTGTCATTGATTCACCGTTACGCCAACTAGAAAACAGTGTTTTTCGTGTGCCCGTAATGCCAGTGTTTAATCAATCAGCACAGCGGTGGTAAAGTATCATAAAAATAGTTGCATGGGTGATCAAATGTCATAATTTGTGTGTGAAATCATTCACGGTGTGCTCTTTGGATTTTAAACAATCTATTTTTGATAGAGGAAGATGAAAGCAGAGCAAATGACAGCCGAAACTCAGCAGGTTCTTCATTTTCATTTCCAAAACCAGTTTTATCCGTTACACCCCGGAGGCAGAGTGATATTTGTTCAGGAATAACATGTGCTTGCGTGTGTGTGTGTGTGTGTGTGTGTGTGGAAGGGGGTGAGGGACTGTGTAGACTTGTTTGCACTGTATAAAGTATTATTTTTCCCTCTAACATTAACTTAAGAATGAGTGTAGAAACAAACTTGTTGCATCAGCTGTTCCCCCTGCTCTCACCAACTTGCTCTGCAGCCTTATTTGCATACTGAATCCGTTTTCTTTTTTGGGGGGGAAATTGCTGCACAGGAGTCTACTAGTGCATATTAAATCGACCACCAAGATAGCTGTGGTCAGGCAGCAAAGAGCGTGTCACTCCCCGTTATTGTGAAACCCTCAGAAGGTCGCCTCCCACTCCCTCCTTCCAGGCGACGTCCTCTGCAGCCTGTGAAACATCGCCTCCATTATGTAAAGAAAAACAAATTCTGCTCTGGCTTATTGACACTGCCACATAAACGTTTGACTGGCGATTACGGAGGCAAACATTACCCTCTCTCGCACAATAACAATCCCTTACCTGAGGCTTAAACCCGGACTGCGAAGCATTTTGATGAATAGAGGTGGACTAAGAAGCTTAAAGGCTAACTGAGGGCGTGCAGGTGTTTTTATTATTTTCTTCTCTTTATGGTCGCCCTGACTTTAGTGCACTCGGTGATCAGTGTCTTCGGGGGAATTTATATGGCTGGAGGTTGCTGCACAGTAAGAGTTTGGCTGCATCGTCACAGCTTGCGGGATAAACCTTGTTATAGTTGCAAATTCTTCACTTGATCTAAATTGTTAACCATCATTTTTAGTTTTACCGATTAGAACAAAAGTGACATCAGTTTGCCATCTTCTGTTATCACTGGTACTCTTTAA